TCACACACACACACTGCCCTGTGATCCCCTCACTCACTCACACACACTGCCCTGTGATCCCCCTCACTCACTCACACACACTGCCCTGTGATCCCCTCAGGTCACTCTCAGATTTTGCATTCTGTGAACTCCTCAGTCATGGATGCATCCCCGATAAATGAGGTGGATGGTAAATATATTCTGCATTTTTAATGCAATGTAACATGACGACTGTACCTGAGTGCATCCTTCCTGAGTGTGATTTCCTGGGACTGAGGATGGTTGTTTTCCAGCAGCTTCTTCACCAAGGTCTGAACCCCCTGGATCCTCTCTTCACCAGCCTCCACCAGGTGCAGGAAGTCTTCGTAGAGTGCCCTCAGGTGCTGACAATGGGAGAACGCAACAACTTACACCCGCTGACAGAACAGCAGCACGTATACCCTGCTTAGAATACAATAACACACCAACACTCACACCGTGCCGACAGTAGGAACAGCACTGACACCGTGCTGACAGTAGGAACAGCACTGACACCGTGCCGACAGTAGGAACAGCAACCTCACACTTACACATGACTGACAGTACTGCAGTGCTTGTAACAAAATCAGCCAGATAGATCTCAGAATATGAGTTCTCAATGGGACTGTTAATCTGGACCAGAGATGTTGGCTGACAGATATAAACAGGAGTGTCAGGGGTTCTGCTCACTCTGAGAGTTAGCTCTTGTGGAAGCTAGATCAGTGTCAAGCACTCTCCACGTGTAAATAAAAGGTGACATAGCGACGGGATACCGGCTTCTGTGGAGTTATTTTCGCGGCAACAAGAGAAAAGCATCCTCCTGAAGAAATTCACTCGTAATAGTCAACTTTGAGTTGGGGCAAGCATTTCTGGTATCATGTCGTTATTTGGGAAGCTTGACTCGTTTGATCCTGCCGTCGAAGACTGGGCCCGGCATGTGGAAAGAATGTGTGTTTTTTTCCTGGGAAAATGACATTGATGGAGATGAAAAGCAACATGTAATTCTCCTGGAAGCATGTGGACCTGCCACCTTTTCCATTATTAGGAGCAGAACTTTCCCTGAGGCACCAGCCAGTAAAACCTTTCAAGAGTTGACGGATTTAGTTGAGGAATATTATGACCCCAAGCCTCCTCTAATTCTGAGATGCTATCGGCTTTACTCGGCAATTTGAGAACCGGGGGAATCCGTTTCAGGATTTTTGACTACATTAAGATAACTGGCAGTGGCACATGACTTTGATTTAACCCTTAACGAGATGCTGAGAGACAATTTGCTTTGTGTGATTAATGTTGTAACCATGCAAAAGCACCTACTAGCAGAAGCCCAAGTTGATTTCAAACAGGCACTACAACTGGCTTTATCACTAGAAAATGCAGCAAGCGGAGCATATGAGTTGCAGGGTTTTCCGATGGAAGTGGACATCCTCACCAGGCTGACTGAGCTTGGGGAACACCACTTGAGTGAAGGCAATTGCATAGCCTCATTCAGAATATATCCTTAACAGAGGGACTCTAAGTCACCCCACAGCAAAACCACAAAACAAAGCCAAGCTTCAGCCAAATGGTTAAAATTTTCTTCAGGATCCAGGCCAGCAAGCCATTGTAGTTGCTGCCAGTATACGAACTTGAGACAGCAAGAGACTCCCACTAGATCTAAATGGAGTAAGAGAACTCATAGGTCGGTATCAGGAGAGCGCACACCCTGGACAGTCACCTACATGTGGTCTGGGACAGTTAAATTGCTTAGCAACATCCAAACCAGAACCAATCAAACTAAACGTCTGGTTAAATGGATGACCGGGGGCACAGGAGTGATTAAGTCACAAACACAAGGTGTTCCGCAATTGGAAAGAAAGCAGGACCACAGACAAATGAAGGCCAAAGGTCAGCAAAGTGACCTAAAGAACACACAGTGGGTGGAAAGCATGAGGAAATAAAGCAAGTTGCCAACAGCCATGACCTGTGTGGGTTCTTCAACACAGTCAAGACCATCCCTGGTCCACATACCCAATTACAGCTAAGAACAGAGTGACATTCATTAAGGACAGAGATAGAATGAGCACTTATTGGAAGGAGCATTTTGATGGAGGGATTATGGAGTGCCCTTTTCAAATTTTGCAGAAATTTATCAGCATCGTCTCCCTGCTCAAAGACAATACACAAACCATGATTCTTGGATCTACCACTGACCCAATGTGTTGCAAAACGAGGTCAAGAAAGGCTGTGCCATTGCCCAAATGCTCTTCTCCCTCTTCCATACCACAACACTACAACACTATTCACTGACTATCAAGATCCACTGCGAGCTACTGGACAATGCGGATTAATTCCCACATCTTGGGAATGTCCTCAAAGTGAGCGAAAACATCGATGACACAAATCAACCTGCAACACCAGCTGACTCACTTATAGCCAGATGCTGTGGATCCTGTTCAGCCACCTCAGGACCCACAACTCTGGAGTGGAATAAAGTTATCCTCGATCCGGAGGGCTGGCTGAGTAACCAAGATCATGACAACAGAACTAGGAGGGGATACTTCTGTACACAATGAACCTTTAAAGATGTGGAAACCACTGTTTGAAAGGGCCACAAATTCAGAATCCACGGGAACATGCAAAAGACAAGGGTGGAAATGTCAGGTATTCGAACTGGGGCAAGTATTTGAAGATAATTCATTTACAGGGCGATGGGGGGAGAAAAGATGGAAAGTAGTTTGCAATTATGTAGCTCTTTCAGGGGTCCGGCACAGACGAGAGGTCTGAATGGCCTCATTCTATTCTGCACTTCAACCTTAGCCGACTTCCCTCAGCTCATGGGCTCATCATGTCACTAATGAATGTATCTTGCACCTTGGGATACCCAAGTTGGATATGTGCTGAGACAGATAGCTCGACCTGGGGCAGAGGGTCTGAGTGGGTTAGGAAGGTGAAAGCTGGGACGGATCCACATGGGAGAATGGGGGACTATGGTGAAGGAATTGAGCTGGAGTACAGGCTTTGATTGCAGAATCATAGAATCCCTACAGTGTGGAAGCAGGCCACTCGACCTGTTTAGTCCACACTGCCCTCCAAAGAGCAACCCTTACCCTATCCCTGTGACCACGGCTAACCCACCTAGCCTTCACATCCCTGGACATTTTGGGCAATTTAGCATGGCCAATCCACTGAATCTGCACATCTTTGGACTATGGAAGGATACTGGAGCACCTGGAGGAAACCTACACAGACACTAGGAGAACGTGCAAACTCCACACAGAAAGTGGTCAGAGGCTGGAATTGAACCCAGGTCCTTGGTGTTATGAGGCAGCAGTGCTAACCACTGAGCCATCGTGCTACGCTTATGGATTGAGGGAGAGAAATGGAGGGGCTTAGAGTGAGTGGGAACTGGAGAAGTGGGTGTCATTTGAGGGAGAGAACAGGAGGGATTTGCAGTGGTGGGGAGCTGCGGGGGGGGGGGGGGGGGGGGGGGGGGGGAGAGAGAGAACATGGGCTTAGTTGGCAAAAGTTGGGTTAGGGTTGCAAAGGAGAGTTGCAAAGACAGTGAGATGAAAGCTGCTCCAGAAACCTATATCATTCACCAGGGATGGAGTTGCTGCATCAGCTGGACATGGTGTGGGATTGAATTGTAGCAGTAATGCTCTGAACAATTTGTTGTCACTGAAGGGTAAAGCTGAGGAGGATGGCTCAGTGACCAAAGGGAAGGTTGGGTCTGGAGGTAACAGAGATATTGTTGGGAGAACATCATGGAGTTCGATATGGACTCAATGTTGTCCAAAGGTTAGAATGGGCAACAGGTGACTGAGTTGAGGAAGAGGTAGTTCCCCTGTTGCTAAATGTTTCTATTGCGAGTGGTGAGGGAGTTATGAGCTGGGGTAATGATTCAGGAAGATCACTGAGATGGCAATTAGTCACACCTACAGAAAACACATGAGCCCTGTTTACCAGCACATGTTGATAGTCATTGCCGTAATCCTCAGAACTGGCAGTTTGCATCTGCTGTGCGACCCATGCCTCCAGCTCTCCGATTTCCCTCAGATACTCATGGAATTGCAATGTCTCTTCCAACTTCTGCAACCTGGGAATTTGTTTAAAAAAAAAAAGGCCATCAAATTAGCTTCGTACCCGCAAACCCATTCCACACTGCAGGTCCTCACAGGGTTCCCTGGCAAGTGGGTGCACACACACACGCACATGCACCACACACACACACACACACACACACACACACACGTGCGCGCGCACACACACACACATACACACACACACACACCCACCCACCCCCCAACCCACACATACATATATACAGACACACCCCCACATATGTGTGTATGTGCACACCCCTGCCCTGCGCACGTGCACATATAAAAATGGCCCATCAAATCAGCTTTGCACCACAAACCCACTCCACAAAGCGGATCTCGACACCTTGGCAGGTGTGTGTGCACACGCACACACAAACGCATATGCATGCACACGCACACATACCCTTACACATGAATATGCACATGCAAGCACATAAACAACCCCACACGTGAGTATAAGTGCACACCGCACTGCCCCACGTGCATGCATATAATAAAAAGCCCAGCAAATTAGCTTCATGTCCATAAACCCATTCCACAAAGCAGGTCTCCACAGGGTGTCCCTGGGCTGGTGTGTGTGCACACGTGTGAGTATGCGCACATATGCATGCGCACACACACCCCCACACGTAAGTGTACACGCACGCATGCACACACACACAAACCAATGCAGTTCACTCAACTGTTCTCTGGGTAGTTGGGGATTGGCAATAAATGCTTGTCTGGCCAGCGATGCCCACTTCCCATGGGCAAATAGATAAACACACACACACGTAACACTTCTGTACATCAGTCATCAAATGGAGGTGTACAAATGCGAACCACATTCATAAATCTCTCTGCACAATTACACAAGGGGCAAGAATCGCTAATAGGACATTATTCTTGGAAACAGCGCATTGAATTGGACTGCTTTCATTGCCTAATGCCCATCATCACTTCGCCGCTGTTATCTCAGGGCATTATCTCAAAGCCAATAGGAGCCATTGAGCCAGAGTACATGAAGCCCCAGAATCCCTGTACCTGACTGCCGAACACTCCCGCAATTCCTTCAACCTCTTCTGAATCTGCTCCTGAGGTTCGTCCACCATGTTGAAGGTGATGAGTCCCCTGAGCAGAAGTCCCTCAGAAATCTTGTGAAGCTCCTCCGCACGGCCTTGGTAATCCTGGATCTGCCGCTCCAGAGCCTGAGGATTAACGGGAACACTGTTCAGAGGCGCAAGGTGGGGGGAAAGATGTCGCGCCTCTTTGCTGACTGTATTATAAGTGTAAATCAGCAACAGCCAGCAGAGGCTCCAGCAACATGCTGAGGGTCACAGGCTAAGGACACAGGGGAGGATTGAGATGAGGAGAAACATTTTCACTCAGACAGTGGAGAGAACTGGATTAACATCAGCAGAGATACAGTCAGTAACAGTGTTACATTACGATTTGGTCAGCAGACAGACTTACTTTGAAAGATCACCAATTGTTTTAAGGAAGGTTTAAGTCCCTCACGTAACTCACTGCAAATTAGATTGTGAAGTGACCACCAGTCACATACTCTACTTCCTACACTGCTATGTGCTGATTAACATATTCTCTCAAAGTGATGTCTCAAAGTGATATAAAACACAAAAAAATGCGGGTGGGTAAAGCTAGCATTCGAATGCTCTGCATTTTAAACCATAGGATCTGATTATAAGGACAGTCACTGCTTTCAAGTTTTTCTCAAAAAAATGAGAATGGTGAACAGCTCCTAACCTTGTACTTGCTGGGGAGAAGCAGCTACAATCATTGTCCAGGCACAGAGGGATGGTTTTGAGCACTAACAGTGCAGAGGAGGCTAGTCAGCACCTCAGGTTGGGAAGGCAGAGTCATGTTTTGACTGCAGCCGGTGGTGAACTGTCACCCTCAGACACTGGCCTGTCTCTCTTTCAGGCGCTAACAACTGTTTTCTGGTCCATATCTTTGTGATGGCTTGTCAGATAATTTATCTCCACATGCGCAGACTCCGTTCATTCCATGCCCCAGGTGCCTGCAGTAGTCAGCATGTTCACTGCACAAGCAGGACTTGAGACCTATCACCAGACACTGGATTTCATAGAAACATAGGAAATGGGAGCAGAAATAGACCATTCAGCCCTTCAAGCCTGCTTCATCATTCAATATGATCTTGGCTGATTGTCCAACACAGTACCTGTTCCCACTTTCACCCTTTGATCCCTTTAGCCCTAAGAATTATACCTAACTCCTTAATGCAAACATTCAATGTTTTGGTCTCAACCATCTTCTGTGATAAAGAATTCCACAGGCTCACCACTCTCTGGGTGAAGATGTTTCTCCTCATCTTGGTACTATATAGCCTACCTCATACCCTTAAACTGTGACCCCTGGTTCTGGACTCCCCAGTTACCGGAAACATCCTTCCTGTCCTTACTCTGTCCAGACCTGTTGGAATCTTATAGGTTTCCATGAGATCTCTCCTCATTCTTCTGAACTCAGGCTTATATCATCAGACAATGTGAAATAAGTGGTGGCTTTTTAACACCAGAAACTCCAGTCCCTCACCACTGATTCCTCAGCTTCTTCATGGACCATTGTCTTAGACTGAACCACACCATTCATGGCCTCAGTACTGAGCTACCAAATCCTTTCCAACACAAACAGCACCAATGTCTACTTGTGACACTGCCTGCCTCCACCTCTGTCTCAGCTCACTGGATGTTGATGTCTTAATCCATGCCATTGTCACCTCTCTCATTCTCCTGGCCAGACTCTACCCTTTAGAAAAAAAAATTCATTCAAAACTCTGCTGTCTGAAATCTATTCAGTCTTATCTCAATTTTAGTGCAGTGTTATTGGGTTACAATGCTACCACTTCTAGGACTTCAAAGCTGATTTGGTCCTGATTTGGCAATACCCAGTTTCTGTAAGAGGAAACCTCCCTTACCCCAGAGCTCAGGCTCAACTGAAGGAATTTAGAGTCGAAGTCCACCACTCAAGAATGTAAACTGCATCAGAGGTTCGCTGATCTCTGGGAACTGAATCACCTCGATGTCTAAACTAGATCTGACTGAATGCAACTCAACGTGACGATTGCATCCTTCCTATCCCAGTTAATTGGAATAAAACATCTGCGCTTAAAGCTGTGGTTGCATTCCTGAAATTGCTGCTTTATGAGAGACAATTTGAAGTGAATTCCCATAGGAATCCCGTAGGATCCTGCACTCATTTTCTTGCCCAGAGCAAACGAAGTTGACTGGCACAGACAGGATGGGCTCCTCCTTTTGTGCCGTGAACATCTTCAAGTCTATGAATGTAAAAGTTGAAGCACTGTATATTTACAGTGCTGTGCATTCTCAGTTGATATAACTTTCGGAATAAAATATAGCATTAAATATGAAAGAGATACAGTACTGTACCACCTGTACAATATTTTAAAGCAAATATACACTATTTTGTACACTATATTCTTGATTCACCAGGATCCAGCTGGTTGCAGAGGTTTGTCAGTTCAGAGAGCTGCTGAGCTCTAGCACTAACAGCCTACTTCAGTGATCAGATGCTGTCCCTCGGAACATGCTCAACGATGAAGGGAGCGGCCTGAGGGCAGATACGTGAGGTGCTGAGCTGCTCGGACTGCAATGCAGTCTTAGGTTTTGGTTCCTTTCTGAGTTAATAACCCAGGCCCCAGAGCTGATCCAGTGAGAGGAGGTGAGGGAAAATTGTTGCCGGTCTCCACGTCGACTAACTGCACTTCTGTGACAGAGTGGAGCTCAGTGATACACAGTGCTGACAGAGACAAGAATCCCGGCAGGGAGACAGATTTCTCGTCTCTGTCCGAATCGGCAGAAAACTGATCTATTGAACCCGGAGACTTTTCTTGCTGAATCTCTCCAGTAAATATCTGAGCCCTCCTGGGATATTGGATACACCGGTAGAGACAAGGGCTGTATGGAGATGAATCTCGTGACTCTCACTGAGTTTACAGGCTCCTCTGATTAACGATGTTAAAGTGAACCAACATTAAATGGGGCAATGTTAAACAAGGACAATCCGTACCATCTGGTCCCTTCATCACCTTACCAATCTCAAATCAGGTTGTTCTTTTAAGTCAACATTTGACTATGAAGCATGAGTCATTGAGCTTTTAGTCTATTTTGATGACTATGGTGAGTACAAAGTAGAGATAAACTGCAGAAACAACACAAGGGACAGAAACATGGAAGCAACACCTCAGGATGCACCTACTGCTGCTAACAAATGAAGGGCACAGAGGCTATAAGTTAGAGTTCCTCTGTTCCAGTTAATTAGAACAGTTCTGTCGGGTGGTGTATTTAAGTGCAGCATGTGGATAATGAAAGCTACTCGTAGACAAGCTGTCAAGTTGCCACCTCTGGAGATCTCACCTACCTTATGGCTCTTAATCAGCTTCAGAGTGGCAGCTTCGTTCTTCCCGTAATCCTCACTTGCCACAAGCTGAAGTTTTTCTGCTGCCCAGGCTTCCAGCTCGGATGCATCTGCGATGAACTAAATCAGAACTCAGTTAGCTGTGATTCTGTCATTTATCAGTTACATCTACAGAGGAAAGAGTGATGTATCAGCTGCAGGACAGTGTATACTGCCTGCTGAGTGGAGGAAGATGTAACTGCTGCACAGGAGTATATGTCCACCCCTACCTCCTACCTACCAGCCTCATCCCCACCTCCTTAACCTCTCTGTCTTCCGTTGACTGACCAACCCCTACCTTAACTCCCCACCTACACTCACCTTCACTGGCTCCATCCCCGCCTCCTTGACCTCTCCGTCTCCTCTCCACCTATCTGCTCCTTTATCCATCTTCCGTCCGCCTCCCCCCACTCTCTATTTATTTCAGAATCCCCTTCCCCTTCCCCATTTCTGAAGAAGGGTCCAGACCCGAAACGTCAGCTTTCCTGCTCCTCTAATTCTGCTTGGCCTGCTGTGTTCATCCAGCTCTACACCTTGCTTTCTCAGTATATCTACTGTGGACGAGAAGATGTTTCTACTGTAAAGGAATATAACGCTGTCTGTTGTGGGGAAGGTGGTGCATCTGCTGCAGGATAGCGTATACTGGCTGCTTTGGAAAGGGCGTGTATCTGCTGCAGAGGTATGTATAATGGCTGCTCAGCAGAGGGAGATGTAACTGCTGTCTATGCTGTCTACTACTGAACAGGAGGTGTAGCTGCTGCAGGAGAGTGTTTTGTATAAATATGTGGTCAAACATACCTCGAGGTGAAATATGTGAACAGTCTGCTTCAGTCTCTAATGGTTACCAGGGAGATGGATGGTCTCCATTGCCAAATGTATAGAAGAATTCATACAGGGGCTAACTACTGCAGTGACCCTTCTCTTGCTCTCTGCTCTGTACCTGAACAGAAGGTGTCGCTGTAATGTTACCGCATTAATAGTACAGAGGCCAGGCTAATTCTCCAGAAGCAGCTGATGGAATTTAAATTTGATTAAAAATCTGGAATTGGAAATTAGCCTTGACATGGTGACCTATCATTGAATGCATTGTAGATGGGTCTGAGGGGGTTTAAACCACACTCTACAACTCACTCTGTCATCTCAACCCTCCTTGTAGTCGCCATAATGATGTGCCCTGTACTTAGTTGTGAACATGATTTAAACTTTATCTTGTTTAAGCCAGGAGGGTCCCCTCATTACACCAGTAAATGGCTTCTCTCTCTCTCTCTCTCTCTGGAAGAGGATAATAGCAGCAAACAGCTCTCTCCTGCTGAGCAACGGAGCTTCTCACAACATGACGGTCAGCAGTGAGGTCTGCTCCCACAGCAGATTGTTGTAAAAACCCATTTGGTTCACTAATACGCATCAGGGAGGGAGATCTGCCATCTTTACCCAGTCTGGCCTATATGTGACTCCAGGCCCATGGCAACATGGTTGACTCTTAACTAACTTCTAAGGCCTTCCCCGTGAAAGAATTTATTTTAAAAAACCCTGAACGTACCTGGTGGAACCGCACTGAGTGCTGTAGTTTTTTCCTCCGGTCACCACAGGCTGACTCCAGCTCCTCCCAGCGACTCTGCAGTTCTCTGCACTTGGCCTCAATGCCCTGGGCCATGTGGTGCTGGGAGCTGACCATCTGCTGGCCCATCTCCAGCACCTTCTGGAACTGCTGCTTGTGAGTGTTCACTTCTACCTGCAGTTCCTGGAGCAGGGAGAAACGCCAAGGTCAACGACAGGCTCAAGAACAGGCCTGAGGCCTACAGAAGGAAGTGGGATCAGGAGGAGGAGTGGTAAAGTCAGGGCTGGGGTTGAGGAAAGAGGTGGTGAGACTATACCGTCCCCACTCCAGGATGCTATTTTACACCTCGTCACACCCCATTCAATAGACCGAACCCAGTATCTAAGTGAAATAACAAGGTGTAGAGCTGGATGAACACAGCAGGCCAAGCAGCATCAGAGGAGCAAGAAGGGTCTAGGCC